ACATTACCTTTCACCTCATCGTCAGGGCTGACTACATTTCTCTCCTGATCTTTCCTACTTCTAGGTTTATTAAGGGCTCCAAGTAACTTCTCAGGACCTGTTCATTTGAGCACACTAGGAAAAAGTACAGTCAAATCACTCTCCCCTTCACCACGGTGGCGCCAACTTAACATAACCACAGCATCAGAGCATTTCTCACTTCTTAGGGTCACCATCGCACAAGTGGCAGGTGATTGAGCAGGACTTATAAAGGGAACTTTGTCCTCCTGACCTTTGGATGAAAGGGTAAATAGATAATTTACTGTTCATCCTCCTTTTCTATATTTTCCTGTTTTGAATGAGCCTCTATTATGTTTAGGATGGGAAAATCAACTTAATTTTATAGCTATTTGACCTGTAAATAATGGGAAACTAAATAAAGGCCTCAGCAAGAATGGTTTTGACTTTGGAAATGTTGAATAAGATTTCTTTCTGTTTAACAAAAACTAACCAAGCAACACATCCCTATGTATCTAGAATTCTGAGAACTCTGATATCTCATCTGTTGACTTAACATTTATCTTTACACATCAGGAAGCTGGGCCATCAGGGAAGTTTAAGAGTGTGTCATTAGATCCATAGATAAATCTAGAGGTGCTGTAAGACGCTTTAAAACAGAACTGTGAGTCTGAGTGCAGTGACTCATACCTGTAATCCCAGAGCTATGGGAGGCCGAGGCAGGTGGATCACCTGGGCTCAGGCCTTCAAGACCAGCCTAAGCAAGAGTGAGACCCCGTCTCTACTAAAAATAGAAAAACTAGCCAGGTGTTGTGGTGGGCCCCTATAGTTCCAGCTACTGGGGAATATGAGGCAAGAGGATTGCTCAAGCCTAAGAGTTTGAGGTTGCTGTGAGCTATGACACCACAACACTCTTCCCAGGGCACAGAGTACAACTCTGTCTCAAAAAAACAAGCAAACAAAACAAAACAAAACAAATGTGGAACTTTACCTCCCTGTAATAGTCTAGATTCTCATGGATCTGAGTGGGGCCTGAGTCATGTAGGTTTCTTTTCTTTTTCTTTTTTTTTGTTTAGCAGGTCTGGCCAGGTTTGAACTTGCCACCCCTGGTGCATGGGGCTGGCGCTCTAACCATTGAGCTATGGGAGCCCAGCCCATGTAGGTTTATTGGTTCCTGGTACAGCCAGTACAAATCCTTCCGTAAGCAGTGCTAGTGTGTTTGTTGGCTAACCCTCCTTTATAATTTTTACCCCTCCCAACTTTGTATCTTTTACTTGGAGTGTAGTAACTTTACTTTTCTTTACTTTTGACTCTTGATTTACTCTATTTGGACAAAAACAAATTTATTGTTCATCCTCCTTTTCTATATTTTCCTGTTTTGAATGAGCCTCTATTATGTTTAGGATGGGAAAATCAACTTAATTTTATAGCTATTTGACCTGTAAATAATGGGAAACTAAATAAAGGCCTCAGCAAGAATGGTTTTGACTTTGGAAATGTTGAATAAGATTTCTTTCTGTTTAACAAAAACTAACCAGCAACACATCCCTATGTATCTAGGGATGACCCAGAGGGACAGATAGTGTGGTGATAGGTGGGCTCAATTTACAGCACTATTTGCCACTCCATTTCCCTCCCTGATCTTTCCTCTTGAATTTCTAGGGCCAACTATCTACCTCCTTCGAAGTTATAGATTTTTATTTTACTTGTAAAATTCTTTGGTTTTCAAAAGGTGTTTGATAAAAAGAAATGTATACATTAAAATATGATTTATAATCCTACCACCCCACAATGTAACCCACAGTTAAAATTTGGATGTCTATCTTCTGTGACTGCATAATCAATTTTTTAAAGTTGTGATTATGTTAGAAAGGCCATCTTTTCTCGGCTGTCTTGTCTTAAATTCTGGTGGAGTTTTTAAAATGGATAATAATAGTTCCTACCCCCAGGATTGTCAGAAAACATAAAAGAGTTATTCTTGGAAAGCACTTAGAATACTGGTAAGAACATAGTAAAAACTCAAAAAATGTTAATGAGCATTGGTATTTTTATTATATGAATACTATTTTATAATTCGCTTTTTAAAAATACACTGTACATATGTTCTCATGTTATTCAAGACTAATACACCCTGACTCAAAATCCATCCCATTACTGCATCATGATTTATTTAATTAGCTTCCATTGTTGGATATTTATTGTTTTCAGGATTTTTATGGTAGTAAATAACCCTATGGTAAATGTTTGCACATAAATCTTTAGGCACATTTCTTCTTATTTCCTAGGGCAAGTTCCTAGAAGTAGAATGCTGAATTAAGAAATATCAACTTCTTTGAGGCTTTTGCCAAAATGCCTTCCAGAAATGTCATGGGAATTTGTGCTCCTAATGTATGAGACTGTATTTCCCCATGGCCTTCCTAGCTCTTGTTATTATAATTTCAAAAATTTTGGGGTGGCGCCTGTGGCTCAGTGGGTAGGGTGCTGGCCCCATATACTGAGGGTGGCAGGTTTGAACCCGGCCCCGGCCAAACTGCAACAAAAAATAGCTGGGCATTATGGTGGGCGCCTGTGATCCCAGCTACTTGGGAGGCTGAGGCAAGAGAATTGCCTAAGCCCAGGAGTTGGAGGTTGCTGTGAGTTGTGTGACGCCTCTACTGAGGATGATAATTAAGACTGGGTCTCTAAAAAAAAAAAAGAAAATTCTTGGCAGTCTGTCATTTTCTTAGTCAGGCAGTGTTGTCTGTTTTCCAAAGCTTTCCTCTACTGAGGTGTTCGCTTTCTTTAATCTCAAATCTCTTTTGAGTTGTTTCCCCTCTTCTTTTAATCTACTATGTCCTTTAATCTTAAATTCCTGCCCTGTTACTATTCCAAACCTTTTCTTTACTTTCTGATCTCCTTACATCATTTCCCTTCTATCCATTTGGAATTAGATTCCAGTGTTCTGTTGTGTACAGGTATGAGCTATATCTCTAGTAGATGGATATCACGGGAAGACAGGGACTTTTTTCACTGAGCCCAAATCTAAGCAACAAATGAAGCTGTTCCCAAATGGACACATCTACAGTACTTTAACTGTAGTAAGGTAAACTAGTAAGATCCCTGTTTTCTGAAGTATTTTGCTGTATAGACAAGCATGTGAAAGCTGCGGAAGGTATTCTTACAGTGTAAAGTAAATTAACCTATATATCAGTCAGTGTCCAACCAGGAAAATAAGAACTACTCTTACGTGTTTAACACAAAAGGAATTTAATTTAGGGAATTGATTACACAGGTGATTGGAGCCCTCAGGAGTCAAGCAGATGGCAAAGCAACCCCAAGATCAGTAAATATCAGAAAGCAGACACCACCTTTAGGTTAGGAGGAAAGAGAGAGAGGGACTGTTGGAATCATCTGGAGGTGTCACAGTGGGGTCACAGTGGGGTTGTCTGTTGGGAGCTGGACCACAGAAGTGATGTAGGTGCCTCTTGTCACCTGAGGCAGAGTGGGAGGAGGAAAATACCCTGGTTTTCCTCTTCTTCCCTAATCTCCTCCCAGCGTCTCCCATTGGCAAATTCAACCAGAAGCCAGTTGACAAAGATGTTTGTGAAACTGTATGTAGCCAGAGACCGACATACCTGTGATGCAGAACGGAGCAGGGGAAAGATGCAGAGGGATCAGAAACAGGCCAAGGCCAGGCACAAGTCCACAGACAGCAGGGTAAAGTGCAAAGCATGCTGGCCTTGGAGAGGTAGGCAGTCCTGGGTTTGAATCGTGGCTCTGTCATTTACTGGCACTCTGGCCTTGGGCAAGTTACTTGCCCTGAGCTTCAGTTTCCTTATCTATAAAAAGGGGCAGAGGAAGGAATGTTTCCTGTTGGAAGCTCTGCCTAGGGTGGGCGGGTAGGTGATAAATTTCCCAATAATGATCCGTGGAGATGATCTAAGAAACTGAAAGTATTAACACATGACTGATTCATTCATTCCACAAACACTTATGGGAACTCACTATTTTCTGGAAATGATTTAAACATGGTCCCCACCCTGGAGGAGATGTTATTCTATCAAGAATGACAGATGGTCAAAGAGGTAAGCCTCAATGCATGACGGCATGGGCATGTTTGCAGAAGAGGGAGGCATGGCACATCTCTGTGTAGGAAAGTGGGAGAAGGATTCAGTGAGGAGATAATATTTGAGTTGTGTTTATAAATAGGGGTGGGAGTTTTCCAGCTGTAGGAGGAATCCTAGCAGGATTCATAGAGTTATGAAAGGACACAAGTATTGGGGATAGTGAGCTGTTCACATGGATGGGGCCTTGAGGGGCCCATGGTTGGAGGGAGATGTGGCTAGACACAGAGGAGAAAGCCAGTGCATCTAAGAAACTAATGTATTTATTCAGTGGAGATGGAGACATTAGCAGAGACTTTAACCTAGAATTTTATAAAGGGACACATCTTCCCAGGTAATCTTATGGCCTTAGCCAAAGGGCTGATGTATGCAGTTGCGTAAAGCAGGGGCATCTCATAAGACATTAAAAAGTAAGAATCAGAAAAATGAGCACAGGAGTTTTCCCTTAATATTAAATTCAGAATGGAAAGAGTCTTTAACTTATCCTGCAGACGCTGAAGGGCTCAAGGTAAATATTTAAAATGTTCTCCCTCTCATTTCCACAAAGCCAAGAACATCAGAGATGGGATGATGATGCTTGTGGCTACGAGACAGGATTTCAAGGATTCTGATGAAACGTCTGCTGGCCTGAATCTGTCTGAATGCTGAAAAGGACCTTGTGTTACCCTAACTGAAAGGAAAACACAAAATGATGGTATATGCTTTTCCGAGCCCTTTCACGTACATCGTCTCACGGAAACTGTGGCAGTTGTATAGAGCAGATAGGGCCCATTTTATACCAGGAGGACTAAGAATCTCATACCTTCCTTAAGGTCCGAGAAGCTATGCCCAAAGCTGCAACTGGATTTGCAGACTTATAAGCCAGTGCCTTCCCCGCACCCAGGGGACTTCTCTGCCTACCTGTTTCCTTCCATATGCTAGGATGGCTTCTGTGAGGTCTTGAACTGTGTGCAGCCTCCTCCAGTGACCTTTGGGACCACTGGAGCCTTTTCTTCTCCCTTGGGGCATCCATGCTGATGTGGCTAAACTTTCTGAATAGAGGATCAGGGCACCCTTTCTAGTGCTGAAAGTTTTAGGAAGAAAGAGGCTGCAGGAGTGGTCATTGGCATTGTCCCCATCCTGAAGTTTCCTGACTGGTACATAATCTTCTGGAGACTTCCAGTTCAAGTAATCCTGCAATAAAGAGAAGTTGCCTTGATGGAGCTACTGTGGAAGACTTTTCTATAGCAAATACTTCTCATGCAAGGTGCTCGACATTTTTTAGTTACTGATTTTCTCTGAATTGTTTGCGTGGTGTCACACAACACAGTTACTCTTCTTAGCAACTGCTTTTCTCTTGATGTCTCAAAATTAGTAGAACCCAGGGCAGGGTTCTATTTTCTGATACAACTTTCAGGAGAACCATTCATGCCTGGAGGCTTAACTCAGGTAGAGTGTAGGTTACAGGCCAATTGAAGTTTCCTGGTATGCACATAAGTAGTCATAATTATCAAGAGCAGCAGATAACTTTGAAATTGGATCTGGATAGTTAGCAGTATAGATAGGAGAAAACCATTTCAACCCACCACCACATCAGCTGTACACCAGGAGAATTCTATACATTCCAGATGCTATGTAACATTACCTAATTTGGCTATTTAGGAGCCTATAAAGTGGTTATATGTCTTGTAAGTAAGTAAATGCCATTGGTCATAGAGGTCCTTTGAAACTTTATATGCCTTTTAACACAGAAAAGGTCAAATATCATTACAAGCTACCATGACAATGGAAATCTCTGTATGACCCCCCAAATTGCAAAGTGCCCCTGGTATATTTCTTATTCCTGGCAGGATTCAATGAAATAAAATTCCAGTACAACAAGGGGATTTTGCCACCTCTTTCAAATCTTCTAATATGAGACTTTTTTTTTTGTCTATATTAAATATGAGTCCTGTGGGTTGAATTCCAGAAAGTTCAAGGAAGCCGTTGAAATGGCACAAATACACAGTGTTTCAACCACAGAGCATAACTTCTAAAAACCAAATAACCCTTGGCTTGCCTAGACCCAGGTGAAAATTCTGGTCTTGAACTAAACCATCTGAATTCCAGACAATCTGGAATCTCTGTTGGTCTCAAGCAAAGATGGCTGTAAGTCAGTGTGCAAAACAAAGGAAGAGGGTCCTGACAACTATCTTGGGGTGTCAAGAAAACCACAGAATTGTCTTGCGTTTCATGAAGGAGGAGGATAGATTCACCAGTGACCCTCCCAACCTCACTAACAACACAAACCAAGACACACACGGTTCACCCCCAAACAGTAATATAGACCATTCCTCTCCCACCCCCAATTGTGCCTTTCTTCAGCTGTAAGACTCACCTCTGGTTCAAAATAGACTTCTAATTTCTGTTTGTTCTGGACCAACTTCCCGTGTCCCCGGCTCAGGAGAGAGAGTGTGAACATGTTTTCCCTCTGACCACCCCTTCTCAAGGGCAGTTCATCTTGGTTTTGAAGGCTGAAAACTGGTCACACCTCAGGATTTCCAAAGCTCGGCAGCAAACTCAAGGAGACCACAAACACTGGGCCTTTTATTAAATACATTTTTCCTTCTTACAGCAGCTTCTTAATAACAACCAGCCACACAGTTTAGACAGTGTGTGTCTTTGTGGAGAAGAAAAATAAACCGCATACCCAGGCTCCTCAAGCCCTGGACTGCCTCCTCTCTGGGCAGTCTCTCTCTCCCCGCTTCACCTGAGCTCTTGTTGTCCCCTGCTCCCGGTTGCTCTGTTACCGGCTGTGTGCATCTACAGATCTGGGCCACAGCACCATCCTTCTCAATGTGAGTGGAGGTTGTTTCCCGGTTGCTATGACAGCACAGGGAAAGGAAGTCCCTTAAACCAACTCAGCCAAGGCAGAGATGGCTGAGGGCAGTGTCCATTCACTGGGTGGGGGCGGGGGTGTCAATGGACTTTACAGGGCCTGGGCTCAGCTTGCGAGTCCTACTTGTGTGAGGTGGGGGGCCACGTTGGGGTGTTTTTAGAAAGCGTCTCGTCCTTTCCCCTGATATGTGAGTCTGTCACTGTCAACTAACCATTAACAGACTCCAGGATTTGTCTAAAGTCACTGCAAGCCACCTCCTTGGCTCAGCGCCAGCATCCCCACGACTGGGCGTGAGGCCTCATTGTGGTAGCCGATGCTTTGCATGAGTGAGTGGGAGATGCTGGGAGTCTCCACTTTCCCTTGCATGCCTGGTTTGAAACTGGGCAACTCAGCCTTTGCCTTTTTCTCTTGGCAGTGGAGGCTCATTTGCTGTCTGTGGCAAAAGTATCTTGTTTTGTAAAGCTGTATCTTGCTCTTACTCCGTAATCCTATCTTTCTCTTCCTCCATAAACTTTGTTTCATGTTTGTCTTAAAAAAAAAAAAAAAAAAGGAAGGCAAAAAAGAAAGAAAGAAACAAACAAACTTGGCCCCTCCCATTCCCAGAGGGGGCTACTGTGGAAACGTGAGGGGCATTTTGACTGTCAGTCACAATGATTGGGGGCCAGTGCTGGCATTTAGCAAGCAGAGGCCTCAGATGCTAACTTCAGCTGTGAAACAGATTGTCCTACATAAGGAGGAATTGTCTCATAGGAATGCTAGTAGCACCCCTCTTTTGAGGTTATCGTCTGGGACGCTTGGTTCTCTTTAATGGTGACGCTGTGAGGAGCTCAGAACAGGAGGGAAGAGCATCAGGGAACAAAAGGATCTCTTTGCTGGCGCTGCAGGGCCCTGCTTTGGCCTGGAAAAGCAAGCTGCCCTGTCATCCGTCTGCGAAACTATCCTGGCAGGCTTGTGGGAGTGTCCCCTGCTGGCCGATGTGAAGAATTACAGCAGGCTTCAGGCCGGCTTAGCTTTATGAGAGCTCTCTATGGCCCTTCACCCGAGACAGGCTCCGGAACTTTCATGCTTGCAAAACTGGGTTTGTCACAGAGACTCAAAACTGAATTTAGTCAAAACCACAATAAGATACCTCTTTGTACATAAGTGGCTATTTAAACAAACAGAAAGCAAGTGTTGAGGAGGATATGGAGGAATTAGAACCCTTGTACACTGTTGGTGGGAATGTAAAATGGGGTAGGCCCTGTAGAAAATGGTATGGCAGTTTCTAAAATAGTTTAAACAGACTTACTGTATGATCTAGTAACTCCATGTCTGGCTACATACCCCAAAGAAGTGAAAGCAACATCTCAAAGAGATATTTGTACACTCATGATCAGAGCAGCACTATTCCCAAGAACAAGAATGTGGAAGCCACCCAATTGTCCATCAGCAGATGAATGGATAAACAAAACGTGGTGTACACCATACAGTGCAGTATTATTTAGCCTTAAAAAGAAAGAAAATTTGAGCACATGCTACAACATGGACGAACCTTGAAGACATCACGCCAAGTGAAATAAGCCAATCATAAGAGCACAAATATTGTACAATTCTACTTACATGAGGTACCCAGGGTGGTCACATTCACAGAGGCAGAAAACAGAAGGGTGATGGAGAGAAACGGAAGTCAGTGTTTAACGGGCACAGTGTGTCAGTTTGGGAAGATGAACTGGGACTTAAAAATGGTTAAAATGGTAAATTTATGTAATGTATATTTTACCACAATTAAAAAAATTTTTTTTCCAAATGTATAGCAAAAGCCCCCCCAAACTGAAGTTGGCACTTTATAACCTGAATGTGGATTGGTCAGCATTATTGTGGAGTGACCCCCGCACAGCAGATGAGACAAAACCCTACAAAGCTGGGCTCTGAATACTCTGCAAGAGTCTCAGGCTACAGTTGTTCCCTGGCCGCCCCTTCAAAGAACACAAAGGATGCTCCAACAACACTTTGCTGAGACCCAACCTGGGGCTCAAGGGTTGGGTCCCAGTACCTGAGAGACTGGGTGGCAGCTGTGTTAATGGAAGTGGAGATAAGGTGATGATCGAGGAGAAGGGTGTGCGTGACAGAGCGGGGCATGAAGACCTATGAAGACAAAGGACATTAGAGGTAGACTTTAAGCAGCAGGAGTTTGCTGGGAAGATGTGAAAGGAAGGGGAGGAGGGAAGAAGAAACAGGATATGGCAGGAGGCAAGGATAGGAAAATTTGAGGTCTCTTAAGAAGAGGCAATTTCTCTGGTGTGGCCAAAGCTGCAGGTCACGTGGACAGAGACAAAGAGACAGGCCATATCCACACTCCTAGGCATTTGGATTTTCATTTTTTTTTTTTTTTGAGACGGAGCCTCAGGCTATCCCCCTGGGTAGAGTGCCATGGCATCACGCTCACAGCAACCTCCAACTCCTGGGCTCAAGCGAGTCTCCTGTCTCAGGCTCCCATGGGACCATAGGCTACCGCCATGCCTGGCCATTTTTTGATTGCAGCCATCATTGTTGTTTGACGGGCCCGGGCTGGGGATTCGAACCGGCCACCTTAGGTGTATGTGGCTGGCGCCTTAGCCGCTTGAGCCACAGGCGCCGAGCCTGGATTTTCATTTTTCAGGCAGGTTTTTTAAAGCAGGATGGACATTCTGGGAGACCAAGGGGAGTGGATGCCTGAGCTCAGGAGTTCGAAATCAGCCTAAGCAAGAGCAAGACCCTGTCTCTAAAAATAGCTGGGCACTGTGGCAGGTAGCTGTGGTCCCAGCTACTTAGAAGGCTGAGGTAAAAGGGTTGCTTGAGCCCAAGAGTTTGAGGTTGCTATAAGCTGTGATTCCATGGCACTCTACCGAAGGTAACAAAGTGAGACTGTCTCAAAATAAATAAATAAATAAATGAATAAAGCAGGATGGAGATGTGATTCCACCTGGGGTTTTAGACAGATAACTTGAGAAGTGTAGAAAAGATGGTTAGAAGGATGTTTTTCTCATAAGCTTTGGGTGAACTTTCAGGACTTGCTCTCCAGGCCAGTCTTCCTTTGGATTTGAATGATCTTGCCAAATAAGACAGGAATAATCACTTGAGAAATGGCCTTTGAGTGAGACATACAGAGCAAAACTGCATACCAGCTGCAAGGATATATAAATCTTACCATTTTATTTTATTTTATTTTTGAGACAGAGTCACTATGTTGCCCTAGGCAGAATGCTGTGGCATCACAGCTCACAGCAACTTCAAACTCTTGGGCTTAAGTGATTTTCTTGCCTCAGCCTCCCAAGTAGCTGGGACCACAGGCACCTGCCACAATGCCCAACTATTTTTTTATTGAAATGGGATCTTGTCCAAATTTGATCCTAATTGCAACTTTTGGGGGAATTAACTCCATGCCACTTCTGTAACAGGATAGTGGGAACTATCCATAAGAAACTCCATTATTATTAATCATCATTGATTTTAGCTGGCCCAGGTTGGGTTCAAAACCATCGGCCTCAGTGTGTGTGTCTGGCGCCCTACCCACTGAGCTATGGGCACTGCCCAATCTTACCATTTTAAAGATGCTGTTGCCCAAGAGAGTTAAGTAGCATAAGAAGAGCTTGATAGGACCCTTAGGAACCAAATGAGAATCACTACTGTTAGCCAAGGGATCACTCCAAGCTTCTCCAGTGGAAAGTCTTTCCCTGAGTGCACCTGACTTTGAAATGTTCACTTAAGTTCCTGAGTGCACCTGACTTTGAAATGTTCCATAAGTAGTGAATTGAGGCCCCAAGAAGTGCTCTTTCTGAGCCTAGGTTGAATGAGCATCTCACCCAGGATGGTACCCAGGTGTTCATTTGGCTCTCCCACAGCTGTGGCAAGGCCACCAGGCTCCTCTGGGGTTGTAATCTGTAAGCAGCCACACCACAGCCCAGAGTGGGCCTCTCCTAAACCATCATGCTTACATCAATGCTGTTTAAAGTGGACAGTGAACAGGTCCATGGATCAATTAATAGACATTTAAAAGCATTTACTCAGTCTCTACCACGGTTTATAGAAAGTTCATTTAGAAAACAATCGAGGTTATTGCCACTCAAAAGTGCTTGGGGATCCCAGATGAAAGGCCTTTGTAACTGGAAAGCATTTATAACGCAAGAAGATCCCGTCCACACCCATGATATACAACACCAACACCATCTCCTGGTGCGCCTGACCTGTCAGGCCATGTAGCATGTCTGTTTGAATTGCACTGTAAATTCTATAGGGTGGAGACTTTGTTTTTATGGTTTGTAAAGCATCATGAATAGCCAGGGAACTCTGTAAATAAATAGAAACCAACAAAACAAAGAAAATAGGTGCTATAAAATGGCCATGTTCCTAGTGTGTTCAGGAATTTATCCCATGCTCAAAGTGCTCAGGGTAATGAATGTCGCTCTGGAGAAGGCCTATGAGTGTCAGAATCATTCCCCTTTGAAAAGAAGTATAATAGTATTTTCTAGTAATTTTATTCATTTTCAGGGGTAGCATATAAGAAAGGCCATGGGTGTTGCCCGTGTTAACAACTGAAGAGGAAAGATCAGCGCACAGAGAGATGA